TGTGTGTCTATGCAATCCCCTGCTTTTCTCCTTCATGCATCTTTATACGAGTTGATAATTTGGAGAAGGCTTCTGAATGTCTTCAACTCTTGATGTACAACCTGATTATTCAATCCAGGGATTTGATCTGCAAGTCGAAGTTGGAGTTAGAAGGAGGGTTATTTTCCTCAAATTTATTTGGGAACCCACACTCAGTTTTCAGTGACAAAAGAAAACAAGGAGTTTGCAATTGTGGGACAAATGGAGGGATTAAGATGTCACAAATTAAACATACTTACTTTTCATGCCATTTGATTGTTCTAGTATCTATCAAGATTCGGGGAATATGGGAAATCTTGGACCATTCCTCTCCTGCATAAATTTCGCAAATTGTAAAATTTTTGCATTATGTATATTTTATGCATCTTTTCTTTAAATTAGGACATTCTTTAATGTGCAGCTCTTCAAGAGAAGAGAGGTTTCCCAACCAGTCTGAAAATGCTTCCACTCTGTTGAATTTTTCTAGAGTCAATGACTTGAGGGCAGTGAGATGTTGAAGCTGATCTGGCAGAAACTTTAATTTATCCCATCCTGTCAATGTTAAATCTTTGAGGGAAGCATGAAAGTGAATGATGCAATCAAGTCTTGGGAACTTCTCCAAATCTGAGTTGAAGGACCCATCCTTAACTCAATAAGGGATTTTAGGGCTTGGAGTGGAAACAGATGCTTTAGATTTCCACATTCAAAAATGTGAAGTCGTTGAAGAGAACTGAGGTTTCCCAACCCTTCTGGAAAAGCTTCCACTCCGTTGAAATTTGAAAGAGTCAATTCTTTCAAGGCAGTGAGATGTTGCAGTTGATCTGGCAAAGACTTGACTTTATCCCATCCACGTAATATTAAAGATTCAAGAGAGGAGTTTAGCTGATGGATGTAACTGAGTCCTGGGAATTCCTCCAATTCATCGCAGAAATAACTCATCTCTAACTTCTTTAAGCCAGCGAGGTAGCGTAGGCACTCCCCCGAAATGCTCCATAGATTAAAGCATTTTTCAATTCTCAAAAGTTGAAGAGATGAGAGCCCGTTCATACTTGGGATATCCATCAGTTTGTAACAATAGCTAATCTCCAAATGAGACAACTTATGATGAGATGAAAATCCACCCATCTGCCAAATTTCCAACTGAGGACAATAGTCAATTTTCAAAATCTCAAGGCAAGGAAACACAATCTC